AAAAAAAAAAAAAAAAGAAAAGAATATATATATAAAAAAAAATAATTAGCAGCATTAAGGAAAATTAATATAGTACACATAAATAATTAAGTAAACACAAAAAATTAGTATAGTACACATAAATAATTAAGTAAACACAAAATTGTGCTTCAGAAAACTTAAAGCTGTGTTCGGTAAAATTAGTTGATAGTTTAATTATGAGTATTTTTTTAGCTTTTATCTTATGATTTATAGCTGAAAAGCTAGGTTAGTGGATAAAAGTGTTTGATAAAATTAGCTTATAAGCTAGTTGGAATAAAAATTTCAACGAGCTTATTTGAAAAGTTACACAAGGAAGCTTATGAGATAAGCTCGAACTTTTCAAAAAAGCTCGTTATAGCAAACAAAACTTATTTAAATACAGGAAGCTTATAAGGTAACCAAATAAACTATAAATTAGCTTATTTGTCTACCAAAAATAGTCTAATTAAGAACAGGCGAAAAAATTCGACTATCTTGCATGGTGAAACCTACCAACTTCTTGTGCTCTCATTAAGCATGCAACAAGAACAAAAAACAATAATAAATAACCCTGCAATAAAGCTGCAACTTTCATGGTCATATTCAAATGACTTGTGCAAAATATCGTTTTTGTTTGTGAAAAATAAAATTGTTTGATGAGGGGTTAATGAAATGACGAGGCTGTTTATATAGAGATTATTGCCACCAACTAAGTCTTTAATGAGTTAATTTAGTTAATTAATTTTAATGAGTGCAGAGTGCTCTCATTGTCTTGACGTGCTGAAAAATGAAAATAATGAAGTGGTTGATTTTTATCGGGAATTTCGTGCTCCAAAATGTCAATATAGGGCAGCCCAAAATAGTTAGAAACAAATAGATGACCGTCAATTTTAATTTTCTCATGATTGCATATTTTGACTCTCATCATCTTTGTGTTCTGGAAGAAAGAAAAAACGTTAGCTGCCGAAGTCAAAGGTGACCAATTTCCATTGACAGGAAAACTACCTGAAAGAAAAATTTTAGGACCCGCGTGTGGTTATTTTCCAATTCCCCATTTTATGTTGTGTGTATTGTATTTGCTATAAAATTTGCCTACCCTTTCTTAAAAATAAAATAAAATGCTACCAAAAAAAAATAAAAAAAATAAAAAATGAAAGAATTTATAAACGATTGACCAAAATTGTTGTATTCAATTCGCTTAAAATTTTAAGTGATATATAGGTTAAAACTTTTTAAAATTCAAGAATTTTTTTTTTAAGATTTTCTGATTTAGCTAACATTTTTTGACAATTTCATGTTTCTATATGTGATTTGGAAATTTTTTGACAATTTCATGTTTCTGATATATCAGCAGCTCATGCCGAGAGATACAATAACTACCTTTCCTTGACTCTTCTGACTAACAGCGTCGGACATCACGTCAGCTCTCCCAAAACTCCAAAAGAAGTAAAAGAACGAGAGTTTCTATGATGGACAAAATTTCAAAACAAGGACGGTTCTGCACCTCACGATGTGCTTGCTCCGGACTCGACTATCCTCCTTAAAAGATTTCTGCATAATCTTTTAAGGTGGAAAGAAACACTCGTCACTACAAGAAATCTGTCAAAATGTGACAAATTTCGTGTGACGAAAAAAAAAGTGTCACCGTATGTAGCCTTGTGGTGACGAATTTAAAAAATCGTCATTACATCATTGCATACAACGACGATTGCTGCACTCGTCATCTTAGATTTAATTTTCGTCACATAATCATACTTTTCATGACACCACATCTCAGTTCGTCACCTAAACATCTAAATTTGTCATATTTATATAAATTTTCGTCACATAATCATACTTTTCATGACACCACATCTCCATTAGCATCTAATGGAGATGCTAATGGTGATGCTGGGGACATAATTGAGTTCTACAAACTCACACATTCCAATGACAAACATGGTTGGTCAAATAATGAGGCAAAAAAAAAATTGGGTAATTCACACTTTCATATTGGCATTGGTATTGTTATTTTTTAGATAGGCATGATATATATTTGTAATCCATCAGGAGTTGATGGTATCGAGGCGAGAAAAATATATAGCAGAAGGAGCTCATAAGACGAATCAAGAAATTGTTCACGAGGTGCTTGGTCCAAGATCAACTTATCTGAAGGGACTTGGTTATCAGACAAATCAGTTAAACAAAGGCATTTTTGCTCCAGCCAACCAAAGTCTTCAAAAGGAAAAAGAGCTTCAAGAAACTCGAGAAAAACTAAAAGCGTCAGAATCACAAGTGAGTGAGCTCAAGGAAGAAGTTAGTGGCTTGAAGAACTTATTGGGCCAACAAGGTGCAGATATTGAAAAGCTTAAGGCATTCATGGCTTCCAAAGGAAATACTTGAGGTAAACAATTGGATGTAAACAATGGGGTTTGTTTTTTATTTGTGAAAATATGCTTTGATAAATGTAAATATATGTGCTGATTCATATGTTTTATGTTTACAGGTGATTGTTCTCTTTGATGTTGATGGATAAATCGAGACTTTTCAGCAAAACTAGAAAATAAGCCTATGGATTTGGAGATTTGTTTCTTAAGTGTGTATTTAGTATTTTTCACTCAATATTCAAGTACTAATGTTTTTGGTTTTAATTATGAATATTTTTTATAATTCCTTTTAAATGTAATCATTTATTTTTATTTCACCGAATATATTATGTCATTATCTAATTTACTGACTAATTACAATAGTATTTTTATGATAATTTTCAATTTGTTACTAAAAGCAATATTTCGTGACACACTAAACTATGACTAATATTATGGTCAAATATTGTGGCATAAAATGGCCTATTTATGACTAATATTTTGTCACACTAAACTTCTTTGAAGTGACAGTATAAATATCGTCACATTTAGTATAAATATATCGTCACATTTT